AAAAAGCATCTGCATAGCTGCTCCCACCTGGTTTAACCCCAACAGGAACTTATCAATTAATCTCTCTCAGAGCAGCTCAAGTGGGGGTAATCCTTCCATTGAACTGTTTCAACTTCTCTGCCCATAGACAAAGGATGGGTAAAGGGCTTGTAGGAATTGTCTTGTTTGGGCTGAGGATCTTCAAGAGGCTTAAGGCCAAACACTTTGTAGATGCCATTTGTCTCTCTGCACATCCAATAATCCTGACTTTAGTCAGGTCATTAGAGCTCATGAGGACCAAACTCGAGGCTCTGGCCTCTCTGTCCCTCCTTAACTGCACTTAAGGTGAGCCTTAACCCAAGTGTCTTGAGGACGTTTCACTTTCTCCAGCTGTCTAAAGGGAACTTAGGGACCTTCTGAGGTCAAAAAGCCTGCTTACGTCACCGTTTGCAATTATTTGACAATAAAACGAATAACAGCAGCTGTATGTCAACAGTACGAGTTAGATGTTCTCTTTAATTTCACAGCTAATTTTAAACAGCTCTTAGGCTGCGAGCAAATTAGCATTCTTAGTGGTATTAATTTTCAACATACTTGGATTGTATCACCCTTATAGCAAATGCACTATAGAAATCAGAAAAGAAGCTCTCTGCATACCAGCTGTGAGTTTTTTTTTAGGATATATTCCAGTATGTCATCCAGCCAAAGCATTTCAGAGTTAGAGCTGAGAGGCAATAAAGTAATTAAAGCACCAGGGGTTCAAACATTCAATATCATTTTCCAAAATGTGTTTAATTAAAATTAATCATTGGCTGCATTATATCGCTACCTGTGGTGAAAAGTGGTACAGTGGTTCTCACTGTAGTCAAGCGTTTCTTTGATGGTTGGGATTGGAGCTAGCAACGATTTAAGACGTTGCCAAAGAGTCTGAATTACAGCAATCTATTGCAATCTCCTTCATTCCACATTTTCCATTATGATGTGTCTTTTTAGAATCAAATAATTCCTCCCAGTGGGACAACATGAAATCCTCAGCCAACATCAAATTCATCAAAATGTTTCCGCAGTGCAAACTGAAATTAAAAAATACTTTAAAAAGGCTAATGGTTTCTTCTGGAGTATTGTAAAAATTTTAAAATCTTTGAATAATTAATTGAACCAGAGCTTGAAAATCTCTTCGGCTGATATCTTAATTTTTGTTCGCCCATTAGAATATTTAACATCACTTGTTAAAAACGAACATGGATAAATCTCAACTGATGTGTTCTGATCCATGAAAAAGACACTTGCTATATGGTGTACTATGTCTATATTCATTCAACTTGCTTTACATTCATCAAGCCAAAAAAGGGAGGAATTGATCAAACATTAATGTGAATCCACCTCATGCACAAGTAGTAAACTATATTTATGAAATCAGTGCATTTGGGAAATATGTGCTAGATCCCAGGACACAAAATCCAGCAGTAAGATTTTCATTAGCTCAATGCTAGTGAATGTGAAAAAGCAGAAAGAGGAAAACAGTCCAAAGATTGTAGACAGAATTTTCTTGATTAAATAATGAAATCCTCTGAAGGCTTCATTTGAATTTTACACAATACTATAATTAAAACCCATATAAGTTAATGCCGGCTAAAAACTTGGAACTTTCTTGCGAAAAAAAATTAGCATCACAGTGGCCTCTATCTCTAGTAAATGATCAAGCTGGTTTTGCAGTGCACTAACACTAACCGATTCAAAGTGCTATTTCACTACGCTACCGAGGATTTGACCTGCTAATTAGTAACAAAAGTAATGTATGACCACAACAAGCAAATTACTAAACACACAGCCATGATCTGTGACATGCTGGATATAGCATGCGCGCCTTGGTAGTGGCAAACATATGGACGCAAATCATGCACTGGATTTCATATATCATCAGAGTGCTTGTAGCTATCAATTCACATATGTTGCATAAGAGATAAAAACATGCGTAATGCTGTAATTTTCTCAGCCACACTTTCAAAAACACTTAGTGTGAATATACAAGCATTTATTTCCATGGGAATGGGTTTTAAGTGCAACCTCCTGACCTGTTTCCCCCCACTTCCTGACTGGCTGAAGATCCAGCAGACTGACACAGGAACTCAAGGGGGAGGCATAGACACCTGACCTATTAACAGTTCATTAAGGAGATTTAAATGATTTTGCCACTTCTGCTACTGACCTCCTGGGACCGGGCTCAAAGTTGTTTCCTGCTTGTGGAGGTTGTAAGCATTGTGCACTTCTGAGAAGCCCTGCCCATCCTAATGAGCTGCATTGTTTCCCTCCTGAGGAGGTCTGTGCTATGAGGAGGCTTAAGGCATCACAGTCCGGCTCCTCATGTGCGGTGCCAATGCGTTAATCATCTTTATATCATCTTTCTATCAAGCATGTTTCTTCTGTGGTTGGATGAAGTAAAAATACACATAATTTTCCCACCCTCTCAGATTTGACGCAGCCACCACATAATGATGCTCTGTGTAGCAGTAGGAGGAATAATTTAATCCATAGTGAAAGAAGTTTCTATTTCCGTTTAGTTCCTGTTGTAACAATATATTTCCAGCTCATTAGCATGAAATTAAATCTCTCATTAACAACTGTAAAGAGTACGGTCCTTAAATTTGTTTTCGTAATCAAGTAAATCCAAGTTCCAGCTTGTATTCCTCACCCTTGTCCTCTATGTCCACTCACTCTCAATTAAGTGTATTTAGTTGCCTCACATTTGAGAGGAAAGCCTGCCTTGTTGCCAAATGAGACTGCACACGTGTCCCGTTTTCTCTCAGCTCTGCAGTTAGTCATGGTTTACTCTCCAGTCTAGCACTTAAGAGATCATTAGCATGTGTAACTTCCACCGATGAGGACACCGCCAAACGCGCCTGGGTACATGATGCAATCGAGTGCCTCATGAATAAAACTGAAAGAGGCAATGAGCCTCCATTCACTCTTTCAAAACTGCAAGGCCCTATAAGATGTCATGGAAAGGCAACGAGTGTGTAGATTTACCTAGAGGTTCGTAATAAAACAATATAAGGAATGCCTGGTAAGGGTAATATAACGTATTAATTTCAAGCCATCGAGCCGTAAAGCACCCAGCCTCCCCGGATAAGCAAGGAAGATCAAAGCAAATGAAAGTCCAATAATTCAAGCCTTCCCAAATGTATGAAGACATAAGGTGAATTTGTGTCTGGAGGCCTCAATCAAAGCAAAGACACACCACTGAGCATTCACTTCCCGAGCTGAATTCAGGTTGTTTCAGTCCTACAGAGTGCTGTTTTAAGCAATAAGGTTGTTGTCATTGTCATAGTGAGCTCCAACACACAAAGATCATGTGGTAGAGGGGTAAAATCAATGATTTCCCCAATCTAAGAAGTGAATGCAGGAGAGTAGAAAAGGATCGCTGGCCGTTTGACCTTCTCTGTGTATTAAACAAACACCAGATGGTAGACATTCAGCGAGTCCATTATCTGAGGGCCTGGTGTGTTGTTCCTGCTGCTAAGTCCCACAGAGTCCCACTGCATGGCTGCCATTGAAGTGCATGCATGGCAGCAACTCTATAAGACCATGAATACCTGAAGCCCCATTCAAACCCATCTCCAGAACCAAGTTCTGATGATAAGCTATGATATTTACATCTCTGTTCTGTAAAAATTCAAAAAAACAAAATGTCTGTGTAATGGTCTGTTCAGGCGTCTATGAAACTTGATGTGTACTAAATAGCCTAACTTTTCAAAGTGCTTTAGGTCATAATGCAAATTACATATATCCTGGCTGAATGACCTAAAACATCTTGAGAAGCATTCTTCATAAAACTACATCAGATCCCTGGGCATATGATTCCTTAAAATACTTCTAAGTAACTAGACATATGATATGTCATTTCAAAGAAAATATGTAGGGACAGGAATGGAAGAGTCTGAAGAGGCTAAGCTGAATTGGGGAGAAAACATGCTGGGCCACCATTGTAATGGCCCAAATGTAGATGGAATGCCCAGTGTGGAAATGAGAATACAGGCCACAATGGTACAGCAGGGTGCTGATGTGTGTGCTGAAGCAGACGCTTGACGAGGAAGTCATAGCTGGAATCAGACACAGGAGCTCATTCAGAAAGCACTTGTGAAAAGGGTGCAGATGTAAAGGCAAGCTATGCAGACATACGAATGTCTGAGGCTCAGCTTGCTTTTGGATTCAAAGCGTATGCTCGCAGTTGGAAAAAAATGTCTTGATGTTCTAACTTGTAGCAAATATCTAGTTTTTAAAATTTATTTATTTATGTTACACGATGGTTTCTAATTATGCAGCCATATTTAGATATTGTGGGAGGATTCACAGTGGAAAGCATAGTTGGCACTAACTTTGAAGTTGTTGGTAGTAGTAGTTGGGCATTATCTTCTTTTTGAAGTTTGTGAGGCTCAGCTTGCTTTTGGATTCAAAGCGTATGCTCGCAGTTGGAAAAAAATGTCTTGATGTTCTAACTTGTAGCTAATATCTAGTTTTTAAAATGTATTTATTTATGTTACACAATGGTTTCTAATTATGCAGCCATATTTAGATATTGTGGGAGGATTCACAGTGGAAAGCATAGTTGGCACTAACTTTGAAGTTGTTGGTAGTAGTAGTTGGGCATTATCTTCTTTTTGAAGTTTTTTTTATAGACATGCAAAACAGTAGCCTATATTACGTCATGGAAAGCAGGGCTGGCTTTTTTTTTTAATTTTTTTTTTTACATTTTAATAATTTACTATTAGAAATTAATTATGTGTTAAAAATGTAAAAAATAAACCAATTCATTAAAAAACCGTTGTTTTAAAAAACGAAACATTTAATCATTTCCAATGACCCGTATCTAAATTCCCTAATGAGGAAGTAAACGTTCCTACCTTCAGAGCGAATGAAGCTGGAAGTACAAACTGATTTTGATGTTCACACGGTACAAAATATTCCGTTGAAAAGCGAAATTGTACCCAGCATAGTAGTCTGGATGCGCATCTTTACAAACTGTGCTTTAGACGCCATTTCAAAACGCGGCTCTAATGTCACGAGACGCCGAACTGCAACAGCGACGCCAAACAGGTAAACGAACTAAAGATTAGAAGAAAATAACACACGCGAGATTATTTCCTCCTTGATTTCATCATCTTCCTTTGTGTGAGTGTTTTTTCTAAAATAAATAAAATATGTATTTAATAGAGATAAATACGGTTAAATAATAATCAGCATATCATGTCAATATTTCGATTACCACCTTTAATAATAGTCTAATATTTATAATAAATATTAATAATAAGTCTAATATTTATTAGACTTTGATCTGCAACAGCGACGCCAAAGGGGTAACGTTAAACGAACTAACGATTAAAAAAAATAGCGCGCACACGAGATAATTTCCTCATTTATTTGATCATCTTTGCGTGTTTTTATTGATACATTTATTTAACTGAGATAAATACTTTTAATTAGCATATAATGTAATTAATTCGATTACAATATTTAATAAGTTAACAATTATTAAACCCCCGAACTGCAATAATGACGCCTAACAGGTAAGTTAAGGAATTAACGATTAAAAAAAGAAGAAAAAAACAGCGAAATTATTTACTCATTCGTTTTATCATCTTCGACTCGAGTGTAAACAAACAAACAAACAAATTAATAAGATTAAATTTTTAGGCCTGCTCATATAATTATTTAATACACCGGCTTAGTGACAGGTGCCACCGACATCTAGGCTCATTTAATAATACAGAATTTGACAATATAGAGGTTGATTGTAGATTTATAGTTATGTAGATTTTTGTCATCAAGTTGATTTGCTGGAACTTAAAACCAATAAATTTTTTGTTCCCATGCCATCATGCTGAGCAATAACAAGAATAACTAGTCAAAGTCTAGACAGCATTTTATTTGTCATTTGAAAAAGTTCTTCCCTTTTTAGTAAATGTGCACTGACCTCTCCAGGTGGCTTTGGGTGTTTGTTGCTTTTTGATTATAATGCAGGAACGCTGGACATTTGAAATGGCATAGTGGTAATTACAGACAGTCATCTAATTACACCGTGTCTGATGCCTGCCTTCTAGAAGTTAGTGCAGAGAGTCCACTGACCTGTCAACTTTGCAACTGAAGCCAGAACCAAAGCTGCTTTTGGAATTTGCTGAACTCCAGCATGTAAAAGAATTATATATTTTTATATACTAGCTATAAGTAGCTGACAGCTGAGACAACTCTATAGACTGTATTTAGTGGTAACACAATGTAGAGTGCAGCTGGCTTCAGCAGAAAACTATGTGTTGTCTAAGTGACGCCCATCTGAGAATTTGTTTAACCAAAAATACAGTTCAAAAGTTCCATTTGACAGGTTTTTACAGTGAAATTTCAATGCATGAAGAAAACAAGCGTTGACATGTCTACACAAGTGTAACAATAAGTAGCAATGCTAACACTTATTTGTCTTGCTGTAGATGTGGGAGAATTATGCCTGTGATTTTAACATGACATGGTTTCATTACTAAGCTTATTGAAATGTTACAACCACTAAGGAACTGCACACAATATACAAATTAAAATTAAATTAAATACAAAAAAATGTAAATACAATTTAGGCCTAACTATTAAAAAAACTGTGGTCTCATCATGTCCTTATTGAAATAAAGCTGGTCAAAATGACATGGCTTTAAAATTCATTTAAAATGGCCTAATCTATTAAATCCGTTTTAAATATTATTAGTATTATTCATCATTCTGATGGTGAAAAATAACCTCAAGAATTAGGCAGTCATAGTGCCTGAATCAAGAGTGAAGAAAATCCTCTCCATGTCTCTCAGGTTTCTCCGTTTGGGGTTTGTCCATCAACAGAGGCCAATTAGACTGGGCCTGACCAGTCTCTATTAAAACAGAAAGTGTTTACATCAGTTTGGCCAGTGTTTGCACTTGAAGATACTGAGAACCAAACATAACAGCAACATTGATACCCTCTATTATGTACACAAGGCAAAAGCGAGTCCAAAATGTGGTACATGCTGCAGTGTAATGGCTGTGAAGTACCACACAGAGCATTTTTGTGTTGGTGAGTTAACTGCTTTTCAGCTTTATTAGGTTGGGAATTTCACCTTCTTTTTTCCTCAGTAACACTTTGATTGTTGATTTTCTTTCTTGCTTTCTTTTTGTTGCTGTTGTTGTGGTTGCTAGCCCTATTCCTCGGTTAATAAAAAAACTCATTCTTTAAATTTACGAAATGTATCTTTTGGCAAGTACCGTAGCAAATGTTTTTTGTGTCGTTTCAATGAAGAAAAGCAGCACCTGTGGGATGTACATTTTTCTATTAATTACACATAACATTCGAACACATTGACATCACCGAGGTCTCCAAGCTTGGTGGGTGGCCAATATGTGAAATCATGGTCCTAAACTTCTCTGCTTCTGGTTTCCTTCTCGGTAGTTGTGTGCATATATAATTGAGACCATTGAAGTACATTGCAGGTCCATCTGCTTGGCAGAGAAGTGAATACTAAACCATCTGGGCCTCTACATGCGCCAGAAAAGGGATATGGATAGGTATTGTCTGAGATAGAGCACCTCAGGGGGTACGTTATTCCACAAGGAACACACACACACACAGCGAGACACACAAACACTCACACACACATTCACAACGATCCATACTGCTCCTTAAAGATAGTAATACTAGAATGCGAAATCTGCTGTTGTTGAACTCCAGATGGAGTGAAATAATTCCGAATCCCATCACCTTGAGTGATTAGTAAACTCTGATATCAAAGCAAATGATCATCAGTATCCCACTCGGTTAGTACACACAGCCACTGCGCAGCGTAACGTTTGCTCTCAGCCCTTACATTCACAGAATCAACCGTGAATACATAAATGATAACAGACATTCTGTTCCTGCCATCAGTTGGTAAAATGGAGTGCCATGTTGAAATGTTTTCTGCTCGTAAGTCGCCCACCAGCTCTGGGGAGACACACATGCTCGCATTAAGGGCTTCGGTTGTGGTCAACACAGCGACTAATTTAACGAATTCTTTATTTTCTTAGGGATACGTGAGACGTTTTGGCAAGGTTGGAGGACTCAAAGAAGCGCAAGGCTGCTGCGCAGAAGGGGATGCTCACCGAGGTTTGTTTATTCACAGGATTATACGCATTAAGCATCAGTCGTTTGGGTTAGCCTTCATCCGTTTGGAAACGGATCGTTTTCTTAACCTCCGAGCGACTCTCTGTTCCTCCATCGCAGCGGTGCCAATTCTGAAAACCGATCGTAGTTTTGACATGACGCTGAACTGCTCTCCTGCGGCCCAGGATACATCTGTAAACATTGGCTAAATGAAGCCTGTGGGGTTCTCACAATGAAACACCCCCCGCTCCCACCCCCCGATGGCCCTTCCATCCATTTCTGAGGGACTTCAGATATCCAGTGGATGTGCTAAAACCCCCGCTGTGTCTGGTCCTTTAGCAGCGGACCTGTCACAAAGCCTCACACCTCATGGCCGGCTCAACGGCCCGTCTCTGGCTCCCATCTCTGACATCTGCTCGGGGTTGGGGTTTCATTCAAGAGGGGGGCAGAGGGAGTCAATCTGCTCTTTTAAAAGAGCCTCACAGTGCCCTGGGTGCTGATGGGGAGAAATGAAGAATCCGCACCATTTCTCTTGCTGGCACCACTGGTGTGCTATTCTCCATCCCTTCCCCATCAACGCCACCACAACTCAAAGCCGTCTTTCATATCCTCCCACGGCTCCAGATTGACAGGCATCAGACAGTTCAGGTGATGAGGAGGAGAGGGTGTGAATGGAGATAGAGAGGTGCCATGTTTGAACACTTCCTAATACGCGCCCGATACTCGGCAAAAAAAAGGCCCCGCGCTTCCAGCCCTTTTTGGCAAGTCGACCACGATGACTATTTGAAGACTTGACAGATTGTGCTGATGTGTTTATTTAGTTGAGCAAATGCGGACTGGAGCTGTTTTCAAGCTTTATTTATGTTGCGTATTAACTCGGTCACCAACAGAAATGAGGCAACATCAATCATCCACTTGATGGGAAGAACACTGAAACATTTATTTTAGATAGCGGCATCTGTACGCTTTCCCAAGTGGAAGGAAAAGAAATGATCTGCACCGTTGTATATCACTACATAGACGCTGAATAATATCGCATGCATTTCTAGGAATGCTAATTTGTTTTTATAAAAAAATTATACAGCTTTGGAAATATTTAACTGATAGTTTACCCAGAAACAAAATATTCTGTCGACAACACAAGAAAAAACTGCAGAATTTTAATTTTTTGGTAAACTATCCCTTTAAATAAAAGACAAAAATACAACAAGTTCATAGAAATAGGAATAGTATATATGATGAATGGTGCACTATTGCTATGATGTATGATGGTGCATGTAGTCATTATAATCATTAAACATTTGAATGTATTTAAAACGCATTGATTAAATGGCTCCAGTGACAGGCTTTGCCACTGTGGTGAGTGGACAAGCACAGACACAGAGCTGAGGATTGTTTCACCATGTAATTCCAGTCTCTGTAACTACTTTACCACCTGAACACAAGTGGCATTCTTCTCCTAGATAAAAATCACCTCGGCGCATTTGTAGGACATGTAGCCACTTACTGCTTGTAAAGATTAAGCCTTGGAGCATGACTTTTAAAGGTGGCGGCTATTATCACTCCGTGTATCCGACCGGGAAGGAGATGGGCTACAAATGAATATTGTCCGGGAGATTTTAACATGAATGAAAGTGTGTTTGTAATCTAAGTGCATGTGTATTTATTCGTTAGACTAACGGTGTTGGAAATGTAATACTGCAGGCTGCACAGATCAGGTTTGATTGGACAAGCTGTGATTTAGAGCAAGTCTCAGGGCTTAAGCAGGACTCTTTTCTGTGGGGGAGAGGTTGAGGGTGCCACACGCAAAAGCTGAATAACTCGTATAACCAGACAAATCCATTAGATAAAGCTATTTCACTGGCTGATTATTCACTAGATAAAATTATTTCAGTAATAAATGCTTACAGCAGGAGCCAAAGCTAATAACCACATCCATTTTAGTCCTCATTTTACTGGTTAGAACAAAAGGGCATATTGAATTAAGGCATAAATTCACACAGATTAGTTGAGAGAATATGGCAGTGGGTAATTATAAGGACCTTATTTTACAGTTCTAAAAATTTTATTTACTATGCAATTGAATAAATGGTTATTAAGCAATCAATTTCCAATTGATTGGAGGTTATTAGAAAACATAGAGCTTCAACAAAGAGTCGTAATATTTTTTTTCCCTTTTTTGTCAGACATTAGACTGATCATGCTGGGATTTCCAATTGAACTGTCAATTCACCTAGCCCAGGTACCATGAGCTTTACCACTTTCTGGTTGTTAATGTAATCTAAATATACATTAATTGCTATGTGATTTTGACAGAATGTGAATGATATTTCTCAAAAAAAAAAGAGCCGACGATAACTGATTAGTCCAAGGGAAATTAACTCCTATGGGTTGAAGGATTCATACAGTCACAAAGGAAAACCGAGTTTCAATTGTTGTGACATTTGTTGCTTTAAATACAAAGACTGTATCGCTGTGTGCCCATCATCAGTGATTTGACTTTACACATAGAAAGACTTAGGTAAACGTAATAACCAAGACAAAAGAGCAAAACTAAGACATAAAAATGTTTTTAAAACCTGATTTAAATTTGTCTCGTATTTGCACAAATCTACGGAGCAGCAGCAGAATCTAGAAATATTTTTTAATTGAGAGTAAAAATAGCATATATATATATATATATATATATATATATATATATATATATATTACTTCTTTAAAGCTTCATTAATTTGCAGATTCAAATGTATCCATAGAGAACTTATTTCTCATAGAGAGCTATTTTAAGATTTTAAAATGACCATTGCTTGATATGCCAACAGTGGCAGATTAATATGTGATATATCAAAGCTAATAAGGCAATTTTGTGTAATTATTGTTTTTCACATCAGTAGCTCTGTCTTATTTTACATTTCAAAATATTTTCATTTTTTATTGACTGCCAGCATCACGATTTTGGCTGGAAAGCTTTTGTTTTGAATTAAGAAATTCTCACAGTCACAGCAACGCAATTGCATTGAGACATAATTGTCTGTTGAATGTTCTTCAGATTGTGTCCAAACTCGTGTTAGATCTCAGAACAAACAGACAAAGCCTTGTATCACAGACAAAGTCTGATATGTGTAGTTTCAACAAAACTGATGGCAAAAATATTCCAAGTGTGAATATTTGGCTTCATTTTGTCATGTTAATTTTTTAGAATAGTTTACAGAGACTAGGTTGGAAACATTTATTCATGAATGTCTTTAATAAAATAAACATACTTTAAATGAATAATAAAATACATTAAAAAGAGTTATTAAATGCCAATAATCAAATTTCACCTCTGAAGAAGCTAGCTTTGAATTTTTCACCATGCTAGCAGTTTTGTGTTTCATTCTGCAGCTCCATCAACTGTTAAGGTGTGAGACAAATAACAATACCACCCTCTGGACTGTGATTTTTTGAAGACTGGAGGTGATATAATGAATCACTTCCCATTAGCAAGGTTTCACACACGTCACAATTATTATAAAGACTCACAGTTTATTTTCAATGAAGGTGACATGATTTGCTAGCTTCAAATATCTATATGCTAATGTAGATTTAATGTATATATGCTAATATCTGTGTGGTGGTTTACACAGCTTTCCATGTTTAGGGAGGATTTTGAAGAGTATGTCCAATTATAGATGCCAAATAGCATGATTTACATATTTAGCCCTTTTTACATTAGGGGCAGACACATGTGATGCCTGGTGTTGGCTGACTGAGTGGGCTATGGAACCATTGCCCTCTAGAGGCCAATTGCCACCTAATATATACCACTCTCATCAGTGCTTGACCATGTACCCACACCTGTTTGTGTGTGTGAAATAAAGTATAATATTTATTTTCACTGATAATGGTCACAGAAAGTGGGTATTTTATAGCACCAAAACTTTATCAGTCAGTATATCAAACCACATTCAAAAGTGAATGTAAAGAACTGCGGCACAAGCTATTATGTGGCTGAATATAAAATCATCACACTTTAGGGACACACAGTGCCAGTAGAATAAAAATATCCGTGATTAAAGTGTTGTTTGTGCTACTGATTCGTGAGCAATTTGTTCCAAAATTCTCAATTCAAGCACCCTTGTCAGAGCGGGTTTTTCTTTGGCTATACTTCTGGTTATACTAAGTATACTGGAGTGCATTCTCTTCTCGGCCATATTTATAATTCAATAAACGTGTTTGTGGCATGTAAGTTCTATTGAAGCACGAATAAAAGGTTATGATTGATGCCGTAACACTTTTTTTACTCCACCGCAACCTGCCTCGTTACAGATTAGAGAAGATAATGGGCAGCAGGACAGGAAGGGGAAGAACAAAACGGGGTCTGCGTTTAATTAACTGCGCCTCCTTTGCGATTCGCTAGCGCGAATTTGCCTTGTTTTATGAAGAGAGATCCTGTTTTTCTAATTCGTCCCCCTTTGTTTCTCAGACAGGGAACGGATCTGGCTCTTTGGGACATTAAATAGAGAGCTAATTCAAGTGGAGGGGCTCTTTCTCTGGTGCTCTGCTCACATAGCTTGGCTGGGCTCACTGGGCCCTTTTGTGTGCTGCCCCTCACCGCATGTGTCCTCGCTCTCCCGGCTGGTCAGATTTTTTTGTCTCCGCTGGATAATCAGCTTGGAACGGTCGAGTCAGATGTGGTGGGAACTGGGCCTGCTTGAGGCTCCTCTCTGAAGGTGTTTGTTGTTAAATAGAACAATTCGTCTGTCTCTTTAGAAAGCCTGACAAAAGCAAATACTCCCTGCTGAAAATTTTCTTAGCCCGTCACACAAAGGCTCAAGTTTGTTTAAGAAATTGCTGCTAAAGAAAGCGTCAACCCATTAAGGTAATTATATGGAACCTGTGTCCTATAAAGGCTTAATTGATGTTAATGTTTGTCTAATTGGGGATTCAGGGAGAGCAAAGGACTAAAGGTCTTCATAGCACTTTCAGGCGAGCCTCTGAAAAGGGTCCTTCTGGTTTTCACA